GAAAAGCTGGCTTTTCACACACAAAATGTTGAAGGGATTTTGCAGATGGAATTAAATTATTTATCCAAACTATTGAATATTAAATTTATCCAAACTAGAATACAATCAGTAACAATTCATGATTATATTTAAGTAATTTAACCAGTTATGTGTCAAGTCTAAGCTTATTTCACCATAAGAAGCATTTTAGCTACCTGTTGCTGAAGTTTGTTTAATTTCAACACTGCCACTGAAACATTTTATTAATAAATACACCTTTCTGGAAAGTACATCACTTTGACTGTTCAGGTTTTGCAGTATGACATATCATCTTATAGGAATTCCTATACGAAATGTATCCTAATTTCCTATAAGAATAGTAAATGACACACAATGTTGTTCATCACTCTTAATTTTTTAAAAGGAAGTGATTATGATAGAATAATCCTTCAAGTTCTCGACAACTACAACCTACACTTGACTGTACTGCAGAATACGTTTTTCTTAGTCATTACTTCGAAGGCTATTGCTATCTATTGGAGAAATGTCGACTTCCAACCCAAGTGCAGATGGTCAATCTGAAGTTGGGCAAGTTTTTGAACAATTCCAAAGTTATATTGATACACGATTAAGCAATCTCGAGAATTCTTTACAATCAGCGAACCATGATCAACCTGAAACGAACGACATTCAAGCGTCGACTAAGAAATTGCAGCGAGAGGCAGACGCCTTAAAGTTTAAGTATAAGCCGAACGCTAAACAGTTTATCTATAATGCTAAAGTCGAAGATTTGGTTGGTTCCACAGTAGAACATCTCGAGAAAGAAAATCCTAGTTGTGAGCAGGCGTTGGAATCCGCGGCTAAAAAAGCTTTGGTATTGATACAGAAGCGCCAGCCAAGATGACTAAATTGGCCGATAAAAGCGATGCGGGTTGGCTGGTCGTCGAGGAATATGAAAGCGATGAATTGGCTGAAGATTCGGAAGACGGCAAGAAAATCAGAAAGTAATTGTGTACAGGTCGCTTGCTTTCTTTGTAATTTCAAATAGGCTTGTTTGCCAAGACAAGCCTAGCCTATAATAACAAAACTAGTTTGGTTATTGTATTGTGTACAGAAGAATGGCGAATTAATAGGAAAATGCTTTTCATTCGGAGGAATAGCATGAGGGAGAATGAAAATATATTTTCCTATTGTTTGAAGGCATGACGCGGAACGTCATGCTTCTGTGAGCATCAGTATAGAATATAAAAGGAAGTGATTATGATGGAATAATCCTTCAAGTTCTCGACAACTACAACCTACACTTGACTGTACTGCAGAATACGTTTTTCTTTTGTTTTTATGTTTAGGTATGAAGTTGAACTTAATTTTACTTGTTTTGTTTCATTATTTATGTTTCGCTGTGCAAGGCGGTCAGCAAACTCATGGGAAAGCCAACGACATTTGCTTCACCTGCGGGTATAAAGGTCATTGGAGCTACGAATGCAGGGTTGGATACTAATCCAGACAAAGGAGTGCCCACTTCGTATGGCCATTATCACTTCTCCAAGAAGCCAAGTTGGGAACAACAACGTCCCAGTGCAGACCAGAGTGGAAAGTGAGAAGAGTGATTTGTCTGAGGACGAAATGTGTGTGTTACAGGTACAGTCGTATGGTAAAGGGGAATTTGTTTGCACGGGCATTAATGGTCGTTCTCAACTGCCCACACAGACTTGTCAAGTACGGGGTAGACTTAAGCAACATATACAGTTTTGGGAAGCGATCGAGGCTCCAAAATTTATTCTAAACACGATACGTGAAGGGTATAAAATTGCATTCTTAGTTGAACCAGCATATTCTTTCAAGTCGAACAATCGTTCCGCAAAATTGCATGACGATTTTGTTAGTGATACAATCAACGAGTTATTAGAGGGAGATCGGATTTCTGAAGTACAATGTAGACAAGATTTACATGTAGTCAGTCCTCTCTCAGTATCCGTTCAGCCATCAGGGAAGAAAAGACTTATCCTAGATTTCAGGCTCGTTAATAAATGCCTTTTACAAGAAGAAGGTAGAGTTTGATGATCATAAGAAAGCCCTCGAAATTTTTTACTTTAAACGGTTTCATGACAAAATTTGATTTAAAAAGCGGATATCGCCATGTTGATATTTTTCCGGGGCATCGAAAATATTTGGGATTTAGTTGGACTTTTAAAAACGGTGTACCAAGATATTTCAACTTCAATGTATTACCTTTTGGGTTGTCAAATGCTCCATATATATTTACAAAATTATTGCGCCCTCTTGTGAAATTGTGGCGAAGCAGGGGTTTCCATTCCTTAGTATATTTGGACGATGGTCTTGGCATAGAAGAAACGGTTGAGAAAGTTGAATATGCCGCCCATCACATTCGAGGGGATTTGTTCGCAGCGGGGTTTATTGTAGCCGAAGAAAAAAGTGTTTGGGATCCAACGCAAATTATAGAATGGCTTGGAATTAAGTGGAATTCGAAAAGTGGGAATATTTCTATAGCAGATAAGCGTATCACTAAAGCTGCAGCTTTGCTTCGCAATGCCAGTGAATTTCCAACAAAATCTGCTCGTGAATTAGCTAAAATAGTGGGATCTATTATTTCCATGGGCCCTGTGTTGGGTAGACTTACAAGTATAATGACCAGACATTGTCAAATGACAGTAGCTGCAGGGCAAGATTGGGATACCAAATATGCATTAGACAATTATTGTTTGTCTGAAATTAATTTTTGGTTGCAAAATTTACAATTTGTAAACAGTAAGTACTGCTTCAATCGCATAGCACACAACAAAATGGTTTATTCTGACGCCAGTGCGTATGCTTGTGGAGCATTAGTACAGGGTGAGAACCAAATGGTTTGTTACAAAATGTTTACCCCTGAGGAGATATCCTGTAGTTCAACACATCGTGAACTGATTACCATATTGTACAGTTTAGAAGCCTTTGGGGAAAAACTGTTTAATTCCCGTATTAAGTGGTTCACGGATAATCAATCTACCGCGAAGATTGTAGATGTGGGTAGTATGAAGTTGACTTTACATGCACTTGCCTATAAAATTTTTTCATACTGTTTGGCAAATAACATTGATTTGAGTATTCAATGGATTCCACGAGAATTGAACGCCCAAGCTGATTTCATAAGCAAAATTAAGGATTGTGATGATTGGCAAATTACCTCTGATTTTTTTTTTTAAAAGAGTTAGATGCGATTTGGGGTCCACACACACTGGATTGCTTTGCGTCTTATTACAATACAAAGGTGAAACGGTTTTTCTCCCGTTTCTGGAACCCAGGTTGCACGCGTGTAGATGCATTTTTTCAGCAATGGACAGGAGAAAACTGTCTTGTAGTCCCGCCTGTAAACATTATTGCACAAGTCCTTAGTTATATGGAGTCGCAGAAGTGTATCGGCACTTTGATAGTGCCCTCTTGGCCTTCTGAGGTGTTCTGGCCGCTACTTTGGCAGCGTTATGAAAATAATATTCAAGAATATAGGTCTTACAAAGGGAATCAGTGTTGTATACATGGAAGGAACACGAAGTCCATATAGGAGCGTCCGACTGGAACGGCTACATTATTGCTGTTAGACTATCGTTTGTGTAACGATGTGAACATGATGGGATTTTATGCAAGTTGTGTGTAAAAATTAATGACAGTTGTGTGGACTTATTGTCCAGGCCGATGGGCCATAAAATAAGAGACGATAAAAGAATGATAAAAGAAAGCTGTTAACATAAAAAAAAAAAAATAATAATAATAATGACAGTTGTGTGGAATTATTGTCCAGGCCGATGGGCCATAAAATAAGAGAAGATAAAAGAATGATAAAAAGAAAGCTGTTAACATTAAAAAAAAAAAATAATGACAGTTGTGTGGACTTTATGTATTTATTGTCCAGGCTGATAGGCCATAAAATACGACAAGGTAAAAGAAAAACTGTACACATGAAAAAAAAAAAAAAAGCTTAGGCCGAGAGGGCATTGCATGTGTGGTTGACAAGATCCAACATCCTTGGGCATGATTCATTTATACCGTATATTAATTGCAAATTTTTTTTTTGCGTCTCATTTTAGGTTTTATATACATTCTCACGTTTGGAAATCTGTTGCAATTGAATCAGTCAGGAAATTGATCTTAGATTGTTTTAGGTCCCGTGCGAGGGCTACAGTGAAGAGATATATTAAAGAAATTGTTTTGTTCCTGCAATTCCAATCTCAGAGAGGGTTATCGGGTGTATTGCCTGCCACAATAGTGCATTTGTGTTTGTATTTGTCGTTTCTCTTAGGTAAACAAAATGTCAGTGCAGCGTCCATGGCTTATGCTGCTCTTAAGTGGGTTCATGGGATATTGCCATTACCCCAAAATCCTTTAGATGCTGACATATGTCGGAATATGGTTGAAGTAGAAAAGAGAAGCAGAACGAGTCCAGTGGTGAAGAAAGAACCAGTTTCTGTGGAATTGATTAAAGATATTGTTCGGAAGTACGGGCATATAGACGCTACACTTAAAGATTTGAGACTGGCAACTATGTGTGTTTTATCATTCGCAGGATTGTTCCGCGCAAAAGAACTTCTTAACATTAGAGTACGGGATATCATGTGGTTTGACGATCATTTCGTCATTAATGTGCCAGAAAGCAAAATGGACTTCTATAGACAAGGTCAGCAAGTGTTTATAGCAAGATCCAATGCTGAAACTTGTCCTGGTGTTTTAATAAACAGATACCTCGCGAAGGCGAACATCTTACTTAATGACAGTGAGGTTCATTTATTTAGGAACCTAGTTTATTTAAAATCAGTAGATAGTTACACTTTAGGAAAGAGAGTCTTGTCCTACACAAGATTCCGTGAGAATTTCAAAGAATGCCTTAAAGAGTCAGGCTATGATGAAAAGTTGTACGGATTGCATAGTTTCCGTGCTGGTGGTGCAACCACAATTGCTAAAAGTTTGACGGCTCCTAATAAAGAGAGATTGTTAAAACTACATGAACGGTGGAAAACAGACATTAGTAAAGACATGTACATTAAAGAAGCTAAAGTAGAAAGGCTCATGGTTCCCAAAGCATGGGTATATGAATGTAAATAAGTTTAACTGTGTGAATAAAGTCGAGTGTGGGTACTTGTTTGCCAAGACAAGCCTAGCCTATAATAACAAAACTAGGGTTATTGTATTGTGTACAGAGGAATGGTGAATTAATAGGAAAATGCTTTTCATTCGGAGGAATAGCATGAGGGAGAATGAAAAGTTAATTATATTAACCCATTAAGCTGCAGAGCTTCCCCATTGACGAGTAAAATCTTCTGGCGCTAGACAAGTAAAAAATAAAAAGGGCGCACTAGGGCACATTGCGGCTCAATGGGTTAACTACAGACATTGGCAGTTTTTTTATCAACCCATTAAGCTGCAGAGCTTTGTGGGCTATCCCCATTGACGAGTTAAACCGTCTGGTGTTAGACAAGTAAAAAAAATAAGTAGGGCACACTCAGGGATGTACACAACCGGGGGGTGGGGGCAACTGCCCCCCCCAGAGAAAACTATATTTACGATTTTTAGAATGTCATTGTTAATTATTCTTTGGATATTTGGGACTTTTTTCGGCATATATGCCTTACTGCCCCTCTGGTGAAAAAATCCTGCATACGGCCCTGGGCGCATTGTGGCTCAATGGGTTAAAATTTGCCTTGAGCAAAACATAGTCCTCAAATAAGTTATTGACTACTCTAGTTAAAAACAAGCAACAAGTCACTTGTAACATTACTCAATAAATATTTTTATATACTAAATCTTTTTTGAATATGCCCCTTTTGCAAATTATTTGCTGGGCAATAATATTTTTAATAACTAGCCTGGTGTTTCTGTTTTTGACTATTGTTCTTGTTTGCCTTTCTGCACTTTGCAACACTTTACAGTGTTGTTTTTGTCCTCATGTGTTGGCGAACCTCTGAGGCCTTACATCCATACTTTGTTGATACATACTGTAAGCTATAAAAAGACAAATAAATTTATTTAATAATGCACACATTTTGATACAGCTGCTGATAACAGAAAAATAAGGGAAACATTTCCCCAAGACCCTAACATGGCAAGTACACTTAATAGTGATTGCTTGATGCTAATTATATTTTCAATAAACTTTCCAACCAGTTGGTTTTTAGGCAAGGGGTCTATTTACCGTCTATACATATTATGTATTATATACAAAATTAGCAAAATGAAGTATTTTTAATAGTACCCACCTTTCATTTCTTGATCATGATCATCATGGCGTAAAACAACTGCCTTAACACCCATGTCAGTTTTTAGCTTGTCTATTTGGTCGCCCACCAGTGCATTTAATGGGGAAATCACGATTACAATTGTTTCTGGCAACATGGCTGAAATATTTCTTTTTCTCGAATTAATGTAGTCGAACATGGATCCCTTCCATTTACTATTTGACGAATATCTTCTTTCTGCTCTTCCTTTAACTTAATTTGAGCATTATTTGTTTTTGCAAGTGCAAAATATATTGCTTCTGCCTTCCTCGTACAGTTGCATTCATTGCGGTCGCCATGTTTTTAGGGAGAAAGGCATATGCTGTGCGACCAAGCCTCTGCGTCGGAATTCCGACGCAGATCCACTGAGCTATAATATTACTGGAGGAGGTGCTCCTATCTCTCGTCAGTCAAAAAAGTGTCCGCAAAAACATGGCGGATTTTCACGTTTGCTGACGCCATATGGTTCCTCCGGCTCATGGCAATTACCACTGACCAACCGCGATCCTAAGCATCCAACAAAGACCTTCGCCCCCCTGTTTTTGCACAAATATTTTATGTTTTCAAGACAAAATCATGCCGTTTTTCTCCACTTGTGGATGCAAAAATTCGCTGTAATGACTTTAAAGGGAAGAATATTTCTTCTGAAAGGTAAGATTTGTGAAAATTTTAAGTTTTTACCTTTTATTCGACTAATTTTCGATTGGCAAAGTCAGGGGCCGATATGCGTATAAAATCGAGGTATAAATATGTATTTGTCAAACACTTATATTTTATATTTACACCAATACTTCTGGAGCAGACATAAAAAACGTTGTACATGGTTATTTATACATTGTGTACATACATTTTCTTTCTAGTTTCAGGCACTGGCTTTTGTTTTTAGTGCCAGTTTATTAGTTTAAACAGCATGCTGCTCATGCAATCTGTAGTTTGCTTTGTTTCATAAAGAGCAGTTAGCACTAGATTTATATACAGTATAAACAAGCTGTATTGTATCCTTCACAAATATTATAAACTGCTAGTCTTGCTAGGTTTTGTATCGGCATTTACCAATTGGCTGTGTAATTTAGGCTTTTTTTGTGTGGTTGTGCACTACATTTCAGTTCAGCATTGAGCTATCATCGACTTGTGCATACCCAAATTTGCATGATTTATACTTATATCATTCTTGCATTGGCATTACCTTACCCTGGTTGCCAGAGGTTCTGTATCTTTCTAAATATACGAGCGGGAATAAGGCGAAAGATACAGAACCTCTGGCAACCAGGGTAGCATTACCTTGAATGCTAGAATGGGTCAACCTGACAACCTCTATGCCTCATAAAAATTTCCAAACAAAAAACCTCCTTCACTCAGAAAATACCTCTGTCATGGGAGTCTTGATTTATGTTTAGCCATATTTATTTAGATCCCTTAGAGGTTAACCCATTGAGTCACATTGCACCCTACTTTATTATTTTACTCTGTCTGATGCCAGACAATTTTACTCATCAAGTAGAGAGTGCTGGTGCTTAATGGGTTAATAACTAGCCTATGTGTATAGTTATGAGTCGCATTGCACCCTGATGCACCCTTTACTCTGTCTAATGCCAGATTATTTTACTCATCAATTGGGGAGAGCGATGGCGCTTAATGGGTTAATTCAGATTTATACAAAGTAGGGGTGGTGGTCTGAGCTAACTGGCCAGAACCTACAGTATGCACCCATTGCAATTAATTTTGAAATGTACATGAAACAGTTTCCATAAAATAAAACAAACCATAGAATAAAACAATCATAAACAAAATAACTTTATTTCTCATTTCTATTACAGGCATCAAAGTGATATGTAATTATACAAGAACTGAAGCAAAAATGTTCTTGCTGTAACAGATGTATTGTATCATGATAGTTGACATTGATGTATATGATCTTATTTGGGTGTAACAATGTGTAGTAATACAGTATCTGTAGTAGTAATCTGTTATTGCTACCAAAAGAAAATTGAAAAGAGATAAACATGCCAAACAGCCAAAGTCACAGCTCATGGGACTACAAAGTGATAATTATACTAGAATAACTTGATTATACAGTTAGTTCAAACTGATTGGGTCATTCAAAAAAATATCCACACCCCTAATGGAAGAGATGGGAGGTTGAGCTTCCTCCCACTTTTGGACACCCTTAACTAATACTTTTACTATTATCAGCAGTTGAGTTCTGCCCACGTCAGACAGCACTTCAGACATCTGTGGAGTTAGTGTTTATCTTTTCTGGAATGACTCATTGGTGATTAGTAGTTAATAATTATTCATTGAAGAATTTAAATTAAAATAATACAATTTCAACTGCATCATTGTGGTGGTAAATAATTCTGCAATAAACAAGAATAGGTTATATAGGTTACTCTAAAAGAGAAAAAGCATGAAAAATCATATCAAGGGAAAATGAGGAATACAAAAGAAATATACTAGGTTTTCAGACGATGCTCGAACTTTGTTGGCAAGTTGAGTGACCCCTTAAATATACATTGTTTTTTCAGAATTATATTTATCAAGAAACTATTAGAAGTTACAGAGACCATAATCCTATGTGTATGTACACCAAAAGCTAAAAAAATATGAACAAATATAAAGGCCCCAAGCTCTTCAGCCATAGCTGAAACGTCGAGGTTTATTTGTCTTAAGCCGCGTTCACACTAGCGGCCCAGGCCTGGCCTGGACCTGGCCTGGGTGTGAACAGGTTTTACCTGGCCTGAGCCTGGCCTGGCCTAAGTCAAGAAATCCAGGCCAACAAATGTAGGTGGCCTGGACCTGGCCTTGATCATCACTGGTGTGTAGGGGTGCACCGGAACTCGGTTCCGGCCGGTTAGTTCCGGCCGGAACCCCGATTTTTTAGAGTTCCGGTTCCGGCCGGAACTAGTAAAAAAAGCATGGCCGGAACCGGAACTCTGTCGTTTTCAGGGAGATAGAATATCAAACGTTTTTGTGTCTAACAAAAGTCACAGTAGGAAGAAAGTTGGACTACGCAAGGGAAATGTACACTATTAACACTTCATTATGACGTTTAACGTTTGTCAGTCTTTTTATTCTGACATTTGCGAACTCTCTACTTGATGATTTGAAGTGTCTGCTTGTCTGGCAGCGGACAAAGTAACATATGACTATATATGGCTTAATAAATTAGTTCCGGTTCCGGCCGGAAGTTCCGGCCGGATCTTTTTTCCAGTTCCGGTCGGATCCGGTTCTGGCCGGAACTTAAAAAACCGGTTCCGGTGCATCCCTACAAGTGGTGTGAACGGGTTTTTCCTGGGCCTGGCCTGGGCGAGGCCCCGTTACCATCGCAATATCTGCCCACGATAAAAACTGGTCAGATGATTGTCATACAATTGGAGGGAAAAACATTCAAAGCGCGAAATTAAATACTTTAGTGGAACACAAGGATGTTTATATTGACGCCTGATTGCTTTGGCCTGGAGTTGGGCGTCAAGCCAGTGTGAATGCGTCACAATTGGCCCCCAGGTCCAGGCCAGGCCTGGGCCGCTGGTGTGAACGCGACTTTAGTCTCAGCTGGTTGCATCATCCTGCACTAACTAGAACCCCCACCCAAGAACTACAATCGGCATAGTGATTCAAAACTCCTTATTAAGGTACTCCGACAGCAGAATGAGCTTCCTTGAGTACCTCTAGCTTTTGCATATAAAGTTAGTACAAAATATAAAATACTATAAATTCTCCTTCTTATTCCCTCAAAATATAGTGGTAAGTACGTACTAGCTGGTAGCACATTATACCGTACTTTCATATGTCATTATAAAATCAGTCCCCAGGGTCAAATTAAGATAATTTGATATTTGTAAAATGCACAGTTTCGTGCCACCTACAGAAAATTATAATTTTCAAAATAGTGTCATGAAATACAAACTGCACAACAGGCTTATTCAAAACATCATAAAATATGCAACAAATAGAGCATGTAAACAAATAAACAATAGATCAAAAACCATTTTGCTCACGATTTAAATGAAACGAAAGTTGATTACTTTGTACAACAAGGCTTTAGAGACCTTTACATACTTGTGGCTAAAATATAATACATTGTACCACAGTTAAACCCAACAATTTTTGTAGAAAATTTGCTCGAGTGTGACTCAGTGTGTGAAGTTATGAACTGAGAATTATTTTACCTGTAGTTGCGGCTTCAAATATCGTCTTTGCGGATGTATTTCGAGGTTTTCTGTCTTCTGAGGACGAGAATATAATGTGTACGACTTGCACACATTTGAACCAGTGGTCAAAGGTACAAAAAATATGAAAAAAAAATCAAAAACTACGAGAATATACTGCAAATACTTCAACAAGCAAAAATATTTTAATAAGAACCAGGGGGGTGTGAAAGTCGTAGCGGGCTCAAAATTGAGCCTGGTCAGTGGTAATTACCATGAGCCGGAGGAACCATATGGCGTCATTCTGGCGTCAGCAAAGGCCGAAATCCACCATGTTTTTGCGGACACTTTTTGATGCCGAGCACGTCCTCCAGTAATATAGTATAGCTCAGTGCGCAGATCAACAGCCTGAACCAGGGCCACTGTGAGGGCCTCCCGAGCTTGGGCCTGGGGACGAGGTTGAGGAAAGATGCGAACAATCTCGTACCCAGAGCCATCGTTGAGTGGCTCTGGCCACACGGGATTGAAAAACGATCCTGATTGGTCGATCCACAAGTTATTGGACCCATACCCCCCGTGGCGTTCACGAGCGCGGCCAACATGAGTGAATACGATATATTTTGCTTTATTTGGCCTGAAAATTTGCTTATTTTGACGAATTTTTTGTTCCTTTTCGTCCGAAAAAGTGGTGAAGGGATTAAGGAGTTGATTTATGCATACTTGAATACATTTGGGCAAAATAACAGGCTTCGTTATGGTAATAATTCATACTCTTGGTTCACTCTGAGCGAGTATTGATGGGAATGATGGCATATGTCCTTGATCTACTATATTGGAGTGTTATTATTGAAAACAAATTCAAGCGTACAAGACTTACAAGCGTACACGTATGCTACGACTGTGTTTGTACAAGATTTGGGATTTTTTAATTGAACTGTAAATGTATGAATCATGGTATGAATGCAACAATTAAACAGCATTTGGATTCTTTTGCAACTTGTCAACTCGTTTGAATGTTTGATAGAATTGTTTGATGATATATTGTTTCTGTTTACAGTATTGCCTGTACAACTCTGTCAGGAACATTGGTGTTAGTAGCCAAAAAAGGTTTCATTAAAGGCCATGTAAAGTATGTAATGTAAACAAACCGTCAAACCCTTTGTTTACATTCTGAACTCAGTGCTAAAGTTGTAAAATATTAGATATATAATATTATACTAAATTTTTAACACTCTTCTGGTTTGCTATGCTTGTAAATGAATACAGATTAGATATTCAATTCAAGAAAGTTCGGAAGGTACAAAATATTAATAACATATTTCCAATGGTCGGGACCCGACTTCCAATGGGCCTGCAAAACTCATGCGCAGAACAGACTTTACATGGCCTTTAACAATAGCACTATAGCAGTATGTACTACGTACAGTATGTAATAATATGAAACCGTCTACACAATTTATACAATGGTTCCACTAAAATTGGTAAATAAATGATTGTCACCTTTTCCACAGTCTTGGTGTGCTGAGTGGTTATATAGTAATACTACCTGAAAAAAACAAGCAGAAACTCAACATTGGCTACTAACTCTTGACGAACGGCCTTCGCTAGAAATGTCAAATTTCTGCTTGTTTTTTTCAGGTAGTACTATATATAAATATCAGATGTTCATTCTTGTAATGGCCAACTGAGTGTGCAACAAGTAACAATTGTATTTGAAGTCAAATGCTCAACAAAAACAACTTTACTTTTTCAGAATAAGACTACTAGAACCAAATTTTAGGTTTATTAGTAAACTATCATAATAACTTCATACATCTTTAACAATTTCAGGACCACCGAAAGTAGGGATGCAGGCAAAATCCCAGCTCAAAAGGGGCCAACAAAGCACAAAAAGTTGTGTCAGTGCCAGATAATATGCAGTAAAGTGTAATATATTGTAAAACACCTCTTCTCCCATTTAATAATTATGATGTCATGGGGACCCCTGGGAAAACTTAATGATGTCATATGCTTTCCCTGGAAAAGTTTTACTCTGGGCCATGCACAACCTCTCAGTGGTACCATAAAATGAATTGCAAGTTTTAAAAAACCTTTATTTATTTCAATAATGTGTCATTCTACACATCAACCTAACAAAGCAATACAAGCATGACAGTATAAATGATATTAAACTTATTCAAGCAGGACATTGTTATTAGTGAG